AGCTTAATCACTGTATGGTGCACTGTTGACTGGAAGCCTTACTAATAACATAAACAGTTGATTAACACATATTTTGTATGTTACATGTATTATATATTCTTACAATAAACTAAGCTAGAGAAAAGGAAAATCATAAGGAAAATACATTTACTATGTTTATTGAAAAAAATGCATATAAGTGGGCCCACACAGTTCATACTTGTGGTATTCAAGGGTGTAAACTGTGGTGACAAGCATAATGATACTTCAGGATGTCTGCCACTACTGTAATGTGATAGGTGAATCAATTTGGAGACCACTTCATGCCATATTCTCTGCTCAAGGATTCATAAAAGATGTTAAAGACTTAAAAGTCTCTTGTTAAAAAGAAGAAACTCTTTAATTTGTTTTTCTAACTTATTTGATACGGGAACCTTTGTAAGGTAATACTGACTAAGCGTGCTGTGAATTACTAAGATTCCAAGAGAAACATTTCAGGACATCTGCTTTCTGCTCTGTAATCTCTTTATAGCTGATGTTTGTACACTTAGCAATACTGAAATAAAAAGTTTAAAAATAAAACCTTTACCTACCAACATTTTTCCCTTCTTAAAACCTCATTCTTAAATTATATCTAGATGCAGATGTTTTAAAATATCCTAAAGTAAATGTAAAAGACAGGAACTTTACTTGCAACATTGACTTAGTTATTGATCCCATTTTATTTTCAAATATAGTTTAAGTTTATAGAAAAACTAGTAAGATCAAATGATTGCATATTTCTTATTAATATTTAATGTACTTACATTTGTTTTAATTGCTGTGTGTATGTACTTTAGATTTTTGAGTGCATATACATATTTCTTAATATCAGTAGTACTTGGCATTTTAGATGCTGCATATGAAGTGATGTCACAGTTTGTTTAACCATTCCACGGTTTATTTTTCACTGTTATATACCAGATGAGCCATGAGCATTTTGGCACAAATTTCAAAATCTTTCCCTCTTCCATTATCATCTTAGTTCCTTTGGTTGCATCATCAGCTAGTTCCTTGGGGATCTAGTTTCTAAGAAATATTTACCAAAGCAAAAGAATCTATTGTTATTAGCTCTGTATATTGCAAGATTAGGCTGTATTAAGATTGAGTAGTACCACCTTCAGTATTGTGAGTGATTATTGCCAGCAGTAACACTTTTAACAGTGATTTCTTACTGCTATCAGAGACTATTCTGTTCAGATTACCAGGATTCTCTAAAAATGATTTTTAAAGTTTGGGTCAAGATTCAGATAAGGTCCATACATTCCAGTGAATCTTTTAAATCTAATTTTATAGGTTTTCTCTTTCTCTTTTTAACCCTTGCAATTTAAACAGTTTTATGATATGCTTAGATGTGATTTTCTTTGCATTTTTGCTCTGCTTGGGTTTTTCAGTTTAAGTTTGTGGATTGGTTCTTTAATCATTTTTAGCATGATCAGTGTTTATTTCCTTTTTTCTAATAGTTTTCAAAATAATAAGCTGGTTTCCTTCTCTCTTCAAAGGGCAATCAGTGACGTCTTTGGTGGAGGGGGGAGTGTGTATAGATTATGAAGTCATTGATTTAAACATATTTGGGTTATTCCAGCCATTGAAATTGTTTTGATGTTCAGATTGTCATCATTGATTAGTAAAAGCCTCTTCGGTCAGGCTGGCTCTTGTGTCCTTTTGCTGTGGCTGCAGTAATCTTGAGAGCTTTCTTATTTCTCATTATTAATATTTAACGGGAGCCTATGCTTTGAATTTTTCTAGGCGGCCTGACCATAATTTGAACCCTATGGATCTCAATGATTTTGCTCTCCCAGGAAACATTTGGCAATGTCTGTAGTCATTTTTGACTGTCACAAAGGGGGAGGAAGGCGGGTGCTACTTGCACCATGGGCAGAGGCCAGGGATGCTGCTACTTATCTGCAGTGCACAGGGACGGCCTCACAACAAAGAATTATTCAGCCCAAAATGTCAGTAGGTGCTGGTTTTGAGAAACCTTGCCATATACTAGTTCAGCTAGCATTTTTGTGGCTTTTTAACAGTTTATGAAATCATATTACCTTTCCCACAACCCATGAAATTGACATTGCTGGACCTTTATTAACAGATGAGTAAATCTGAGGAGTTCATATGACTTACCAAAGGTCACACAACTAACCTTCACAGGACCATCTTTGCATGCCATCCATCTATGTGATTGTAAGAAGTAGGCAGTTGAGGAATGTTGATAAAGACCACATTGTTTTCATATGTATCTTTCTCCTATACATCACCATAAAAGCAAACAGCTTTAAAGAGATGTCTGCTAAAACTAAATGTAGCTCTTGAGTTTTTGCTAGCAGAGTTTTTATCCGACTCTTCTGTCTTTATTATACTACCCTTGTTCCTAGCATCCCTTCTCATAGTGTTGTTCCACAGGCAAGTTTTTTCTTCTAGGACCGCATGCTGCCCCATTAATTTTGGGTGGGTCATGATTTGGTAAATGCTAGACTTGTTCTAAAGAGTAGCTGATGACTTCTGTGTAGTCCAGGAAAACTTGCCACCTTATTTAAAACCACCTGAAAGTCTTTTTAGAAGGAGATGTCCGTTGTCAGTTATTAAGGTTCTTAGGTGGATGAAGTTGCTAAAGAGAGCAAATCATGTCCCACCAAGGAATTGGGAGCCAACTATTCACCTTAGCGGATGGTTGAAAACCGTGAAGGTTGGTTGAAACGTAGGTTTTGTAAAGCATTCTTAGAAAGCCAGTTTCAGTAGCTTTAAAGTATCACAAGTTTTATACCTAAGTAAGCACTTAGGGTTTCAAGTAACTTGATTTCATCACTAAATAAGAAGCTAGTTTACTTAATTACTTTGAAGGTTCATGTGTTGGAGAAATGGAAGTGTTAACAAACTAATCAAACTTCTGTTAACAGTGTCATATAGGTATCTAGAAAGAGCCTTTCGAATTTTGGAGTTAATGAATGGGGAGTTGGGTTTTTATCAAACACTGAATTGTCACTTTTGTCTGGCTTTTTGCAGGTTCACCGCAACAGCCCGATGCGCTCTGGCTGTGATGTGAATCCCTTCTGTGCACTGTGTGGCTCAGGCAGTGCCAACACCATGCCTCCAGAAATCCACTACGAAGCCCCTCTGTTGGAACGCCTTTCCCAGTTGGACTCTTGTGTTCACCCAGTTCTGGCATTTCCAGATGGTAAGAAAGGCCACAGAATATAGTCTAATAAATGAAACAAAGGGTTGAAAGTGAAAGGAAGTCATTTCTCACAGCCCTGAAGTGGCTGGGTGGGGCCTACGGGCAGTTGCCTCCAGCCACAAGCAAAGTGGTCTTTTATACCCCAGTATATCTTTAAAAATATATTGTCTGTGTGCCCATGATGTAAAATAGGGTGGGCAGCACTGTTCTGAGAGAAGGTCTTCATATTGAGGGTGTTGTATGTATTACTGGGAGTGGTTACATGACGGCTTTCCAAGGTGTCCGTAAGCATAGACCTTCTCTGTTAGCTTGTACTTTTTCTAACACTGATCTACCTGATGAGCCTCTATGTCTGCCGGTTTTCCTTTTCTACCTCTTTCATAGTTGCTCTTCTCCCATTTCACAAAAGAAGAAAGTCATTCTTCTTACCCATATTGACTTTGTTTTATTTTGTTTTTCTGTATTAAGTCTCGATGTGGGTCTTCTTCCAGAGTATAAAAACTTTAGGCAGTAGGGACACCAAAGGGACCATTTCCAAGAATTCATGACTCCTGAAGGAGAAGCCTGTGGGATTTGAGTAAAAAAGAATTTGAATAAAAAAATTAAGCCCTACTTGGTTTGCTCAGTGGTTAGAGCGTCGGCCCTCGTTCTGAAGGGTCACAGGTTCAAATCCAGCCAAGGGCACGGCACGTACCTCAATTGTAAGCTCAATCCCAGCCCTGGTTGGTGCGCAAGCATGAGGCAACCAATAGATGTGTCTCTCTCACATTGATGTCTCTCTCCCTCTCTCCCCCCCCTCCACTGTCTCTGAAAAGCAATGGAAAGATATCCTTGGGTGAGGATTAAAAAAATGGATGAAGAAGATGGAAGTACCTTATTTTGTTTAAATTCTGTGCCTTACCTGTCTGTCATCTTAGAGTAAATATTAAGAGAATAACTGCAGTTAGACTTTATTCTGACTAAAAGTCTGATTGATTAAGGTCTAAAAGAAAGATTTTTCCTTCGCTAATTAAGCTAAATACATTTATATGTCAAGGTGTTGATAAAAATATTTGAGTTTATGATTTTTTTAAAATTGCATTTCATGTGATGGGAGTACATGAGCAAAAATGTTGAAACCACTGCTTTAGATACAGTTTACAGGAAGCTTTCATAATCTGGATTGATTTCATTCATTTTCAAATCTCAGGATCTGGTTCCAGCCTATGGAATGTAATAAGCATTTCCTCTTGAATCACTGTGGTATTTTATCAATTATGTTATGAATGGGTTTTTTTTTGTTTTGGTTTGTTTTTATCTTTATTGATTTCAGAGAGAGGAAGGGAGAAGGGGAGGGGGAGAGAGAGAGTCCTTGATTGGCTGCCTCCTGCACACCCCCACTGGGGATCGAGCCCGCAGCCCAGGCATGTGCCCTGACTGGGAACCGAACCACCATCTTCTGGATCCTAGGTCAATGCTCAACTGCTGAGCCACACCCGGCTAGGCTGTTATGGCTGTTTTTGGATTTACTCTCCATTACTTAAATTGTAAGCTTCCTGAAGGTAAAGGACCATGTTTTTCTTCCTGTTCTGTCCTTTATAATACCTTACACATAGTCTGTATAAGTTTTTGCAAGGAGAATAATTGAGATAGGAGGACTTAAAAGGCTAACTGAAAAAGGAGTCTCAGGAGTGAGAATTATGTGGGATATAAGATTTACTTGGTTGGAGGAGAAAAAAAAAAATGTTTTAGCATAGGTAGTATATAAACTTTTTAAAGGGACAGATGCTCAGTAATTTGGATTTTGCTAGCTGTACTATGTTTAGTCTTTTCAACTATACAACTCTGCCATAGCACAAAAGCAGCCATAGACAATATGTAAACTAATGGTGTGGCTGTGTTCCAATAAAGCTTTATTTATAAAAACAATCATTAATAGATCCTGGCCAGTGTGGTTCAGTTGGTTGAGTGTCGTCCCATGCACCAAAAGATCTCAAGTTCGACCTCTGGTCAGGGTGCATACGGGAGGCAACTGATCAGTATTTCTCTCTTACATGAATGTTTCTCTCTCCCTCCCTCCCTTCCTCTCTAAAATCAAGAAAAACATTTAAAAAAAACCCCACAGTCATTACTGATATCTGTCCTAGACAATCCCCTCCTTATCTGTTCTTTAAATGATTGAAGTCTTTCTTAGCCACCTAAATCCTGCAACTAGTCCATGACTTATTATCAAAATTCTCTTTGACTAAAGAAAGGACATGGTATAATAGTCTTGCTGTAATTGACTTAGCAAAATAGAAATATTTAGAATATTTGGAGCTATATGAATACTAAGCTAGGCAGGGTTTTCGGTCAGGATTGGTACAGCAGTAAATTAACTTAATGAATGGAAGACACTAAAACATTTTCCTCTGCTTCAAATTCCAGAGCCATTAACTTCTACCTTCTCTTGCCATTTGTGTTATAGCTCATATATCCACTATTTGTATAGCATTTTGTGGTTGAAAATGCATTTTTCTCACAACTTGTCTTCTTTCACTAATCTTGTAAGGTATTGCTTCAGCTTTCCAGGTTAAGAAACAGGCTTAGAGAGGTTGTGGCTTTATCTCAGGCTAACTGGCTAGAGTTTAGGTGGCTCCAAAATTCAGGCTCAGGTCATCTGATACCTGTCCTTCATTTTTCTCTATTCTGTGTTCCTTCCCAGCCAGGTTATTAAAAGAAGTCAGGTTTCTACCCAATTCCATACTCTGGCTGCAGATGAAACCACCAGGAAGATTTAGGAACATTTCTTGGATTAGTTACTCTCTCAGGTTTACCGTGTTGAATTGTATAGTCTCATATTTGAAAAAGAAGCCTGAAGCCTATATTTATATTCTGATCCTGATAAGGCCTCTTCCATACTCATTGAATATCAGCTGATAAACATGGTGATCATTCCTTTAACAACAGTGTTACCATGTAGAGTTGTGAAGTCTCCTCCATCCAATCACAAGTACCCAAACCACCTGCCTGACATCCCTCATTCCACCATTCAGCATTTCTACTAGGAGGTACCTGTTCCTTATTCACACTCTGTCCTTCTCACTGTATCACATCTATAGATCTAACCACTACTCTTATATTTCTCCACTCCATCCTATTCCAAGCAACTATAGGTAGCAATGAGGGAGAAAAGAAGGAAAGATCATTTTCTTGCTTGCCTCTAAATACTGTTTCTCCCTTTGTCTCTCTTGTCTTATATACACACAGAGCTCCTAACGATGACACTGGTGTTTGGACAAGAGTTGGTCATTAAATTCTCCTTGTATGAGACTGTAAAGGAGAATATTTATGTGTCTTTTACTATACCAAGTTGGATATATGAACATATCTGCCTGTGGATAAATTAGACTTTCTTTGAGTTGGCCTGGGGTCCTAGTTACCATATCTAATATTGTTCTTATTCGGGTGATTTTTCTTTGTCTAAACAACTACCACATTCAGAATGCAATCTGTAAACCAGAAGATTCGCAGGACCACAACTCCACAGCGCACCATTCTATGTGAATGGTGCCCCCTAAAGGATTGAGGTTCCCCGTGGATCATTGTGTAGAATAATTAGTAACAGTGAAGGCTAGCAGCCAGCATAGTACTGTGTGGGTCAAGTATGTGCATCAGACCTGACCTCTGGGCCACCTTTTTGCAGCCTCTTCATTTTTAAGTAGAACCAGTTGTGTAGTTTGTGAAGATAGGAACCATCTGAGGCTAGTAATCCTAGAGTTCTGTCTCGCATCTTGACCACCCCTCATTCACTCCCATTAAGTATGGCTAGAGATGATGGAATTTGAGGAACTGTAAGCTGGGCAGAAGTTGGAGGCATTAGGGTGTGATAACCCTTTAGTACTCCAGAAGGAGAGACTTGTTTCCTTATCACCTTACTTAATCAAGTCAGGTTAATCTTTAGCTTTGAAATGTAGAGGATATGTAACCTTGGGGAAAAGAAGATCAGTTAGACTTGGGTTTAATAAGAGCACCACCTGCTGGCCATCTGGACATGAATATCTGTGTTTTGAGAGAACTTGCCAAGACAGCTAGCTATAATAGGAGGCTACTACAACTTGCCAGCAGGAGGAGGAAGTGAGCATTACAAAACACCCCAAGAAAGTGAGTTTGAGAAAATGGTGGAAAGTATGAGCAAAACAGTCAAGTGAGTCATGGAATGTCAGGCCCTGGTGAGCCTGAAGTCAAGGCCTCTTTTCATTTTGTTTGCAGAAATAGTAACTTAAGATAATGTTCGTAATCACTTCTGTTTTCATGTTACTGACCTGATCAAGTATTTGCAAACTTTATTCTCTAATAGCAGTTTAATGCTTTTGCCTATGAAAGTGTGGAATGTATGAAGTCTTCTAGCTGAATGGTTCCCTATCATTTTCTCTGCCATTTCATCCCTTTCTTTGCCTACTTTCAGGTTCTCTATATCCAACCTATTCCATAGTTTTAGCTGTACGTGGATCCTAGGTGTTATTTCTTCCTCATCCAGAAGCGTGAACTCAATTCCTAAGAGATCGTTTTTGTTCATTGACTGGCGGATTTACCTGTTCACTCTTATATGAAAGCAATTAAAACACAGCAAACTTCTAGCAAAGTGTAGCTGCTTTAGTCCCTTAAACAGTTCATTATTATCCCTAACTGCTTATTTAGTGGGTTGGAGGAGTTCTTTTTTGTTTGTTTGTTTAAATATTTTTATTGATTTCAGAGAGCGGGAGGGAGAGGGAGAGAGAGATAGAAACATCAATGATGAGAGTCATTGATAGGCTGCCTTCTGCATCGAGCCCGAAATCCAGGCATATGCCCTGACCAGGAATCAAACTGCAATCTCCTGGATCATAGGTTGATGCTCAACCTCTGAGCCATGCCAGCCGGGTGGAAAAGGAGTTCTTGGTTCTACTTAATACATCAGCTCCAAGTATGTCCTCTCTTGTGCTTACTCACAGTGTTTAATAGTGGCTGTCTGGATTTGGTTAATTTTTTGAGAAGAGCCTGAGGTCTTAGGGTCCAACAGAAACCATGTGATTACTTTAGCCTATGCTCCAGTAGACAGAGGAAGGGGGAGAGCTAGAGTACATGTCCCTGGGTGTTACCAGCCCTGAGCTAGTCCTGCTGCGTCATCTACAAATGGAGAAGCTAAAGCCTGGTTAATTGACTTGTTCTTATTTTCTCCTCCTATTCAGTGATGGAACTGGGACCCAAATCCAGGTCTCTCTACTTCTAGTCCATTCCTTTTCCCACTGTCTCCTCTTTTCCCTGGCTTAATGAAATCACAATGGTTTTGTAGTCCCGTTACATAGTCCTTGCCAAGTGGAAGTAACTCTTCTGAGAAAGGGGTATCCTGGGATATAGAAGGGAAAGTGGTCTCCCCTTTCTTAAGCCTTCTGTATGCATTCCAGCTCGGCCCAGCTTTCAGAATGCCACTAGACAATGCTTTATTTACTAAGGGCCAGTGGTCCATTCTCAGAACTAGAAAATAATGCCTGGTCCTAAGACTGCTTGCCCATTGGGGATAGTCATCCTTGAGAATGGAACTATTTTATTCACTAAAGGATACGTTCATTCTTGTCCTGAAAGATTTAGTGTTCAAACTTGGTCTTTGAAGTGTCACAAAATCCATGGTTTATACTATAGGAAAGAGTGGTTAAATTCTTTTAAACTGTAGAACTCCCTTGAAAAATATCTTGTACTCTCCAGTTCCTTGGGAATAATTTGCGAAGCATCAGATTCCACCTGAGAATTAAACCTCTCTATTCTCTGGGGCCAAAGAATAATCTCATGGTGTAGTGGCTAAGAGTATGGGCTTTAGGATTATGCAAACCTGAGTGTGAGTGTTGGTTCTTACTCACTAAACTATGTAACCTGGGACAGTTACTTCACTTCTCTGAACCATGTTTTCTGTCTTTAAAAGGATAATGGTGCTTACATCATGGAATTGTTATGAAGATTGATATACACACACAATGCCAGCCACATAGTAATGGGTTCAGTAAATGATCATTTATTCTTCTTTTCTTGTCCCTCCTACCCAATCCTAGCTTAGATTGAGCACATCTTCTACCCTCCCGGGAGCCAAAATCCCTCACATGTTTTCCATAGAAAAAATGTTAAGTAGAATATATTCATAATAGTTCTGGAAAAAGAAGGCATGCCATCAGTGACTAGAGTTCAGAGTGATTTTCAAATGATGGAAAACAGGATAACTGTTAGGTAGGAGCTGTTATAGGGAGGTTCTTCACCAACAGAGAAGGCCACAGAGAAGTAGGGATTGGACCTGAGCATTTGGTGCTGAATTTGGACTTGTTTTGGAATAGCTAGGTTGGATTTTCCCCTCTTGTACCCCCTACTCCATCAGTGCCTATTTCTGTGCTGTAGTAGTGATATGGACTCTGGGGCTAGAACTTTTGAGTATGTCCCAGGTGCTTAATGGTTCCCAGGAGGAACTGGGAGCTAAAGAAAATATGCTAGTCTTCAGATTAAAGAGAACCTTGGGAAGCTTTTCAGAACTCTGAAAGAAAAAAAAACAGACCTGTGTCTGTCGTGAAATTTTGAAGTGCTGTCAAAAAAACAGGAAATGCTTGAGAATAAACTTAATAAATTTGGATGATTTATACAATGAAAACTGACAAACACTGCTGAGAGAAAATTATAGAAAACCTTAAAATGTGGAGAGATATACCATATTCATGAGTAAGAGACAGTATAGACGGCATTTCTCCCCAAATTGACCTGAGTCAGTTTAATATCACAACAAGATTTTTGTTTGCTTCTTTTTTTCAAAAGCTTAAAAGAGGAAAACAGACCACCTACAAGTGAATAAGAATTAGTTTATCTTATCTGCAACACTGGATATTAGAGTACAGTGGAGTAAAGCTTTAAAAATCAAGACTAAAAAGATTAATTTGTGATGTTGAATATTAACTAATCAGCTATAAAAAACCTAGGTAATCTCAATGTGGGGGGTGGTGAGGCTCTGAAGGAAGGTGGGAGAAGAATGGTATAATTCTTATTTTGGGGGAAAGATGTACACAATATAGTGCCTGGTACATAGTAGAGAGGGAATATTTGTTGAATGGATATATCCTGAATAAATCCATATTGACTGAAGTCAGTTTAAATGTTTTAGTGTCTAGAAGAATAGAAACAGGATGTCTATCAGTCTTTCAAACCAATAAAGTTAAACTTAGCAGATTACATAAACAAAGAAAACTCCATCAATCTAACAAAAGGGTGTGTTAGATGTGTTTTGTTGTTTTTGAACTTGAAAAATGAAAGGCAAAAGTAACTTGTTTGTGAGTAGGAGAATGACCTTCAGTAAAGTTCAGATAAATACGATAGTGCTTGCCCTGCCAGGTTATCATGCCACTGGGCAAATAAAGAAGGGTATGACACAGATCTTGCCCACTGGAGAGTCAGAGTTAACGGCGAATTCACTTCACCTCACTTCATGAGATAGGAGCCCACAGGCCAGGTGTTTGTACTAACCTTTAGGTGTTTTGTGTTTCTTACAGATGTTCCCACAAGCCTGCACTTCCAGAGCATGCTGAAATCACAGTGGCAGAATAAACCTTTTGACAAAGTCAAACCTCCCAAAAAATTTTCATTTAAGCACAGAGCACCCATGCCAGGCAGTCTGCCAGATCCAACTCGTAAAGACAGGCACAAGTTGGTCAGCTCCTTCCTAACAACAGCCAGTAAGTTTCAGAGGACCAGGGAGTCCTCTAGTTGTTTTTCTATTCCTTTTATAATCTCAAGTTACTGGTTTCTGTAGCGGTATGTTAGGGTTGGGAATTGACTGATACAAAGTCAGCTTACAGTCTCCTTTTACTCATCTTGGATTTTCTCAGATGGACCCCAAATGCTCAGTGAACAGCCAGCAGTGACATGGCATTGGGTCCATCTGTGAACAGGTTGTCTTCTGTAGCCTGGTGTCACATTTCTCTGGTTGAGGACCCTGTTGGCTCCCTAGCCACTGTGCTATTTGCTAGAAGCATGAGTCCCAGAGGACCGTCCTGCTGCCCTAGGTGTCTGTCATTGGCCTAGAGAGAACTTAAGAACTCAGAACTCAAATAAGAAAAGATTGAGAGAAGATATTTTACAGCTCTTTTTCTGTTCCCCTCTTCAGAGCTGTCCCATCACCAAACCCGGCCTGACAGGACCCACAGGCAGCACTTAGACGATGTGGGGTCCGTGCCTGTGGTGGAGCGAGTGACAGCGCCAAAAGCAGAGCGCTTGCCTAACCCACCACCACTCGTGCATGACCCAAACCACAGCAAAATGAGATTGCGAGACCATTCATCTGAGAGAAGTGAAGGTAGGGCCAGGCCCGGCACCTCTACCTGCATTTGCACCTGCTCGGGGCTTTCTGGGGCAGCCTGCGCTTCTCTTAATTGCCCCCAGCTTTCCCTCACTGTAGGAAGGCAGAGTAGAGGGACCCTACTGCTTCCAAATGCAGGCCTCTTCTTACTGCTGCAGCAGCTTCCGCCCAGCCCCTACTTCCCATCAGCCACTTGCTTTACCTTTTTATCCCCCAGGCTTAGAAAGCGTTTTGCCTTCATTGTGCATCGCTGGCATTCCTAGCTTTTGCTAGAGGCAGAGCTGGTGAAGATAGCCACATCTTCCTCTTTTCTGTTGACTTCTGCAGTGTTGAAGCATCACACAGATTTGAGCAGTTCGAGCTACTTGGCAGCCTCCCACCACTCACCGCACAGTCCCTTGGTGCGACAGCTCTCCACCTCATCAGACACCTCTGCATCCACCAGCTCCAGCCCCCAGGTTACAGCCAGCACATCTGTAAGTACCTGCATGGAGTTAGCTGGAGAGCCCCTCTGCGGTTACGGCTCATTTAAGTGTCTCTGGGGACAGTGTAGAGTGGACTGTGAAGCCCAGGGCAGGTATGGGTTTCAGCTCATCGGGATGTAAGTCGGAGCAGCGGTATTTGACTTCCTGTTGCCTGCCTTGAGTTGTTCATAGTCAAGATGGGTCTGTGCTGAGCCGTCCATAGAAGGCCTGATGTAGAGAAAACCCTTAAAAGTGGGCTGTGAGTATTAAAGACCTGTGAGACTGAGTTTCACATTGCACTCAACAATATCATGGCTCTCGCCCTCTTAGTCTAAAAAGTAAGCTGAGAGAAGGAATAGAGGCGCAATGCCTACGGGCATTGAAGACATTGGATTTCCCTGTTTTTACTCTACTGCTGAGTGGAGCTACAGAACTGAGAAGAAACACTGGCTGTTAGGGTGCCTGGAACAGAAGGGAGAGGGCAGCCCATGCTTTTCAGGTGTACAGAGCAGAATTACAGATCCGACAGCCACCCTGGCAGTACTTACATGTGGTGCACTCCCAGTGACTTCGTACCACATTCTATCCAGGTAGCTGTTCTCACAGCCATTTCAGACACATTAGAATTTCATTCTAATATTTTAGTTCCTTAAGGTGTACCTCCTTAAACACATCTACCTGTAGCAGCCTTGTGCCACTAAAGGGTCCTTTATGCAGTAATTATAATAATGGTAACAGTAATAATAAAACGCTGCCACTGTAATGTGTGTGTCAGTGCTAAGTGCTCTCCACGTGGTCTCTCAGTCCTGTAACACCTTTTGAGATGTAGTTGGTGTTAAGGATTCCCATTTTGTAAACAGGGAAACTAAGGCTTTCCAAGGTTAAGGAAATTGCATAAGCAAGGCAACTTGTGATGGTTATAATTGTGATTCAAACCCAGGCCGCCTGGCTGCAGAGCCAGCTCTCTTACATTACACTACACAGTATTGGCCACAGGCGCACCCCATGGCAGAGGCACCTTATACAGGTGCTTTGAAGCCCCTTTAAAGCTGATATCAAGAAACTTCTAAGCCCACAAAATGTGCTCACTAGGTTCCTGTGATCAGGTAGGAATTTACATTGTTCTAACTTTGCTCTTAAACCTTTAAAAGATGGCATTTAAATTCCCGTAGTGGGATCTCCCAGCTGGAGCTTTTTTGGACATTTAAATTCAGCTCTGCAGGCATTTACTTTTTTGCCTCTATCTTACCTATTTTTTGAGTTATTTATGAAAAGTAAAAACATTTATAAAGAAAATGTATTGTTTATTATTAAAGTTATCTTTTATTCGGCCAGCGGGACCCACTCCTTGCCGGGAACTAAAGTTCCCTTTCGTCCGATAAAGGTTAAAAATCAGTCTTTTCCGAACAGCCTCTTCTTCACCTCCTACATCTACAAATTTTGTCTAAATAGGTGTGTAGTATCTATCACAAACTTAGTTACCCATCACAAAAGGTGAGTAACCAAAAGACCAAATTATTTCAAAGACAGTCTAATTCTGAAAGAAAATCTGAAGTCTGAGATTCAGGTCTTGGTGAGACCAGTATTTTCTCACCTGCTGACCCTCTTGTGTCTGGAGACTGTTAACTTGGGCCTAGATCATTTGACGTTTTTACTTATTATTTATTGAGTATAAATTTTGTATATAGCCCTGTGTTGATCCTTAAGGCTCTTGCTGCCATTTTTTTTTTTTTTTTTTTTAAATCTGGATTTATTTAATACAGTGAAAGGCCAAATACTTACGGTAGAGAAGCTAGAGGACCTAGAGAGATGGTGGGGGGATGGGCAGCGGGAGGGGTGTGCATGCTAGTGCTTCCCAATAGATTGTGGATGCATCAGAATCGCCTCTGGCTTAAAAAAACACATAAAACCCTGAAGATTCTGATTCGCTAGAAGGGGGGAATCTGAGAAAAAAAAAATTTAAGAGCTTTTTTTAAAAGCTGCTCATCTTGGTTCTGATGTGCAAACTAGGTTTGGGAACCACTTTCCATTCCCATCACCTGCTCCCCACCTCTGATTTGATAAATAGGGGAGAGTAGTTACATTAGACCAAATTAGTACCTGATGGAAATAGGGGTGGATCTAGGTGGAGGGTGTTTGCTTGAGCCTATTGAACAATCCCACAACCCACTTATGCCTCTTTACCTCCAAGGCACTGAAAGCAGGCCCAAGAAGATTACTTGTTTCTCCAGCAGTTGCGCATTCATTCGTTCATTCTTCTTTTTTTAAAAAAAAAAAAAGTTTTTTATTACTGATTTTAGAGAGAAAGGAGGGGAGAGAGGGAGAGAGAAACATCAATGATGAGACAGTCATTGATTGGCTGCCTCCTGCACGCCCCCTACTGGGGATAGAGCCCAAAACCCAGGCATGTGTCCTGACCAGGAATTGGACCAGTGACCTTTTGGTGTATGGGACAACGCTCAACCACTGAGCCACACCCGCCGGCCTCGCATTCATTCTTGATTAAAATATAGGGAAAGTTCATCTCTTGGGGCTTCCTTAAGGAACACTTCTTGTAGTAGGACATTCAGTTTGAACAGAGATGTGGCAGTGGCAGAGGCCTTTGGGTATGAGGTCACTAATCCTCAGGTGCAGAATTCAGCCATGAAAGATTTGCAAAAGTCTCTTCAACCATTTTGGTTACCCAGTTATCCTAAATTTGTGAGATCAATGACAGTCTAGTCCAGTGATTTTCATCCAGTATGCCGCAAGAATTTTTAAAACGTGCTACTATGTAGTCCAGGCACTGATCTCTTTTCTCTTAGATTATCAAATGACAACAGCCAACACAACCATATCCATTCAGTGTGACTAAATCAAAATTATACTGTTTTTTTTTGTGGTGGTGGTGGTGGTAGTGGTTTTTTGTCATATCGGCAAAAAATAGATTTTTTTTGGTATTCTGTGAGGTAGAAAAGGTTGAAAATTGCTGATCTATTTTCACTTGATAGAGAAGGAAGTTGAGGTGAGAAAGACATTGTAATAACCTGAAGTCGAAGGTAGAGCAGCTAAAATCCTGGCCCAGGAAAAGTGCACTGGACATTATCTGAGAATGTCCTTAAATGATGGGATGAGTCAATTATATGTCGTCCTCCAGGAACAGAGTAGAGTAGTTAGTATAGGGAACAACCTCATCTCCTTCACTAGTCCCTTCTGAACCAGCCACACAAGGTGGCTTGGGTTTGAATGCAGCCTCTTAGGTGTTTCCAGCTGTATTGTCGCCATGGCAGCATCTTTGTCATCAACTGTTTCCCTCTGGCCTCTCACAGCTCAATTGCCAGTCTCTGTGGCAGGGTACAGTGTTTGCTATCTGGGCACATACAGCTAGTGGGCTTTTTCTTCCATCTGAGAAACCAAGCCCTTTGGCTCCCTGCTTTATTCCTTATTTGGTCTCCCTGCTGCTGTAGTAGATGCTCACCTCCTCTGATACTGGATCCTCATTAGTCTTCTTTCCAAAGAGTTTGATCTTCTCAACTTCCTGTAGAAGTGAATCTCCTTTTCCCAGGAGTGTGAGCTATAGAGCCTGGTCCTCTTCTTCAGTTTCCCTCCACTCATCTAGAAAGCTCTCAGCTCTTCCCCCAAGAATAATAGCCACAAAGAGGGGAAATCATGTAGTGGCTGAGCAGATGGTGGGTTCAGATTTAGCTGAGGAATTGATCTATAAGAAGGAGGTGATTTCATGACATCCAAGGTTAGATGATCTATTGAGTTGGACCTATTCTTTGAGTATCTTTCAGGATAAGGGAAATAATCATCTTTATAACCCAAAGAGTCACCACTAGGTTTAAACATTGCTTTTAGAAGCTACTATGGGCCTAAGTCTATGGGGACAGAAAGGAGGATTTAAAGTGGGGAGGGGTCCCTGGCTGCTATGGCTCGGTTGGGCGTCCTTCTGTGCACCAAGAGGTCGCAGGTTCAATTGCCGGTCAGGGAATATGCCCGGTTTTGGGCTCAACCCCAGTGGCAGGCGTGCAGGAGCAGCAGATTGATGTTTCTACCTCTCTTCCTCTCTCTCTCAAAAAAAAAAATTAATTAAAAAAACAGCCCTCGCTGGGTTTGCTCAGTGGTTAGAGCATCGGCCCTTGCACTGAAGGATTGAGGGTTGGATTCCAGTCAGGGGCACATATCTCCGTTACAGGCTCAATCCCTGGCCCAGGTCCAGGCACGTGCAGGAGGCAACCAATCGATGTGTCTCTCTCATGTCAATGTTTCTCTCTTTCCCCCACCCTTCCGCTCTCTAAAATGTCAGTGGAAAAAATATCCTCAGGTGAGGATTAACAACAAAAGTATTTAAAAAATGTACATTAAAAATTTTTTTTTTTTAAATAAAGGGGAAAGGGATAGTAAAGGTGTACATGGAAGAGTAGGAACCACAACAATTGACTCAAGGCCCCAGAATAGCCACCCCTGTGAAATTCACAGAAGTCTCTTTTCATGTGAGACCATGAAGGGGAAGGGTGGGCAGTGAGGCTTGTGCATGGGAGATACTCCTCAAGACCACCTAATATTTTTCTCCTGAGGGCTTTGTTATGGGAGACCATCTCCTGTAGGGGTGGGGAACCTTTTTTCTGTTGGTGGCCATTTGGATATTTATAACATCATTCTCGGGCCATACAAAATTATCAACTTAAAAATTAGCATGTAATATTTGGTCAAACATTTAATTAACTCACCCCTAATGTGATGGTTGGAACTGCTTCTCTTTGGTGAGGCCTTGGCAGGGCCAGACCAAATGATTTTGTGGGCTGTATACGGCCCACAGGCCAGACGTTCCACACCCATTAGATGCAAGCAGTTGCTGCCCAGCCCCTACCCAAGGGACACAGATGCCTGTTTATTGGTAATTCTGTTTTAAGTCTCTGGTGTATGCTTTGATGTTTGTAGAATTGTGTCTCTCCTTTAAACTTACCTTTGTCTTACAGCAGCCAATAAGGAGGAGAAGGGGGGAGAGCTCATTTGATATCAACAACATCGTCATCCCAATGTCTGTTGCTGCAACAACCCGTGTAGAGAAATTGCAATACAAGGAAATCCTTACTCCCAGGTAGAGGGCCTAAATAAATCAGCTTTTCTCCCCATTTTTCCTGTTACTGCTCTTTTTCTTTGGCTCTTGTCACTGAGCTTTGGGTCCTAGCTTTGGGTTTTGTCTTCTAGTAGAAGTGAAATTAGTTCTCATTAGTTCTCTCTCATTCCATTATATAAGTCTTAACCAGACCACAAGTCACAAAGTGGCAGTAGACTGTATTATTTGACACATACAGTGCATTTTAAAATACTGAATTTGCTGGCAGCATCAAAGATTCACTTATGAATCTTTATTTCCAGCTTTTGTTGACAAGTCGGAAGATTGGGTGGCCCTGTATATGTGTTCCCATGTGGTAGCAATCTGCTGGTGCTGAATAGTGGTGGTCCCTTTAAATAGGTTCCTTTGTTTTTCCAGCCTCCCAGCCTGCATCCAGTTTATGAACCTTGTGGATATTGAGTGTGAAGCCTCTTAGAGGCCTGCAGGGCTAAGGAGGCCAAGCTCAGAGGGTAGAGCCTGCCAGCAGAAAGCAGTATCACTCATAGGCTCAGGGCTCTCGTTCTTACATGGACTCATTTTTCCTGCCCCAGGCTACCTGCCATCTCATGATTGTCCCTTCTTGGTTTTGCAGCTGGCGGGAGGTCGATCTTCGATCTCTGAAGGGGAATCCTGACGAAGAGAACGAGGAGGTAATGACATGGTCATTCTCTCTTAGAGAAGATACACACATGTGCTGCACACATCCAGACCTGTGGTGTCAAATGCAGGCACATATTCCTATTTTGACCAGAAAGAACTTAGTATGGGGTGGGGCTGGATCTAGAATTGATCTACCCTTACTTACACTCGGCTTTCTAGCGGGAAGAAGTGATCATTGAAGCTGCTCTATTGCAGATCGAGGACCTGTCTGATGCAGCCTTCGCCGCCCTGCATGCCAAATGTGAGGAGATGGAGAGGGCTAGGTGGCTGTGGACCACAAGCGTGCCACCCCAGCGGCGGGGCAGCAGGTAATGGGACAGGGAGTTTGGGCCCTAACTGTGTCCTTGGAATTGCCACCGCCTCTCAGGTTGCTCTTGCTCTTCATACTCATCCACTAGCAGTAGCTGAGAATACAGAGGTTTCTCGGTGTTTTTCGGAACTGATGAGGGTATAAGCAAATGCTGGGTCCTTGCTGAGTGGGAAGTGATCTCCTGGGCTCTAAGAGCAGGCTGGCTGTGACATTTGGTGGCCGGGTGGGGGTTGTGATTTACCAGAGGGGCTTTGGAGGCCTCACCACAAGCTGTCCTTCCTTTGGACAGTGGAATATGGTTTTGTGGTCCTGCTTGAAAGAACTGCCCCAGCTTATCTCCAGTTATTGTTAAGAGTGGCAGAGCCCTCAGGAGTCTCAAGTAGAAGGATTTAGACTCTTGATTTTGCTTTTTTTCCTCGACTATAATTTTCAATCTGAACTAATTTCCCTTCCCCTGTGAATTCTAGGCATTGAGCAGGGATTAGTCCTGGCAGTGTTCAGCTCTGGCTTTCTCTTGGGATGACAGGTGTATGCAGTTCCTACATGTCATATTATGTAGCCACCTCTCTACACGGCAGTGGGAGGAAATGAGGGGATTTGTGGTTCCTAGGAAAGAATTGTTGGTGTCAGTATACCTTGCTACTCTGGTTGGGATGCTTTCTTTCATGCCTCTCTAGCACCCCCACCCGCACCCCCAAATAAACATACGAGTAATCCCTTATGACTCAGGCACTCAGATTTGCACTCCTTGGTGTACAGGTCTTACAGGTCATCAGACGGCCGGACAACCCCACAGCTGGGTTGTGCCAACCCCTCCACCCCCCAGCCCGCCTCTCCTGATGTCAGTAGTAGCCACTCTTTGTCGGAGTTCTCCCACGGTCAATCCCCTAGGAGCCCCATCAGCCCAGAACTGCACTCGGCCCCCCTCACCCCTGTAGCACGGGACACTCTACGACACCTAGCCAGTGAAGACACACGCTGTTCCACGCCAGAGCTGGGGCTGGATGAACAGGTGAGGAATGCTGCCTTTGCATGGGGTTGGTAGGCTGGGGGGTGGAATTGGGAAGGGACAGTACCTGCTAAAGCTGAATCTACATGTTATGATTTTCCCTCCCCATTTTGGAGGGGAGGAGGGGCTGCACTTGAAATCGACCTTCTGAAGGTACCATGGAAATAGCCATTGTTAAAGGGTGCCCACTCTGTGAGGCATCTTCCCAAACCACCCCAAGAACTCTAGAGAAACTGGTCAGGCACTCCAGTCCACACGTTTTGGGGCAAGGGGCAGCTGGGCCTGAGTCCTCACGAAGGCAACTTGTCTGCCCACAGTCTGTCCAGCCATGGGAGCGGCGAACCTTCCCCCTGGCGTACAGTCCCCAGGCAGAGTGTGAGGACCAACTGGATGCGCAGGAACGGGCAGCCCGCTGCACTCGGCGCACCTCAGGCAACAACAAGACTGGCCGGGAGACAGAGGTGGCACCCACTTCACCTCCCATTGTCCCCCTCAAGAGTCGGCATCTGACAGCAACAGTTACAACTCAGCGTCCAACTCACAGATGAGCGGGATACGAGAATCTAAACAGACTCACTAACTATTGGCATTAAAGCTTCAGAAATCTCTGCGTTTGATATTCAAACATCATATGCCGGAAATTTTCACGGTTTTTAGTGAATTTAAACAATTTAGATTCTACTTTGGTATTTTTTTTTCCCTTGTTTTGATTTTTGTTCTGTTTTGGTTTTGGTTTCCATGTTTTGTTGTCACACACCTGAGCACTTCCTCCAGTTGGCAAACAGAAGTTCAGGATAAGACCCTGCCAGCCTGGTCCTGGCACATCCTCTGCACTGTTGAATCACTGGACTTAGCGATGTTTGATGATCGCCTCTCCCTCGCACCTGTGGGCAGGGTGGGACAGCCAAGTGGGCAGAGGGAATGGAAAGCCCCAGCTCAGTATTGCCCCCTTAGGTTAGGGTGGGAGAGAGCAGCTCCCTCCTCAGCCCTCCCCTCCCCTCCCGTCCCCTCCCATTCGTGGCTTGGCTCAGCTCCAGCCCTCCTGGCTGGGTCTCCCTTGGTCATCTGTGCTGGAGCACCCCCGTCAGAGTCTCTTAGCCATAACTGCCAGCTGGAATGGCTTCCCCCTGTCATCCAGATCTCGCAGATGAATGTTGGGTTTCCTCTGCATTTGGTTATCTTTGTTTTGACTCCTTAACTGCAGTTAAACTGGCTGCGGCTGCTCAGGTCCCCATCCTGCCCCTTTGTGCCCTCTCGTCTGCTCCCCCATGCCATACATACCCACACACAGCAGTCCTTCCACTTGGACTTTTTTACCCTGTCCTGGTCCATGAAGGTAGAGTTAGGACTACTTAACCTCTATTCCTACTCCTCTGCAAACCTAGGGGTCTGGGAAGTGAGCAGCCATCTCCTCTGTGTAATTCCGTTTCCCTGGCTGATTCAGTCATGTTTCCTCCCCATCCAGTTCCCTGTCAGTGTCAGTTCGGCCCTTTGTCTTTTAAGTTCCCCTTTCCTGTGGAACGTTGTCTGGTCCTAGCTGTGGTTCCCATCACTCTCCATTATCACCCCCTGGTTGTTAACCTTGTGCCTGTCTCATGTATGATTACATTACCAAAAAGGGGGCAATAAGGACTTTTTTTTTTTTTTTTCCATTTTGTAATCATATAAAAATAGTAGACAAGCTGCTTAATGGTTGGGGTTTTTTCACAATTTTCAACATTAGTGATTTTTTTGATTCTGTTTGCAATTTAAAGGGTTTGTCATTGTTTCTTTAAAAAAACAATAATGCACCATATCCCTATGCATAAAGTGCTTCTTCTATTTATAAGGTTGAAAATTCTGAATAACCCTTTTAGCATTGTAAAAAAAAAAAACAAAAACAAAAATGGAAAAAAAAACCTTGTATTTTGTAAATATTTTCTTTTTCTGCTTTGAGCTGTGTATTGGCAGCGAGACATGTAGCTGTCTTTGTTCTATAGAAATGCTTTTCTTCAGAGAAGCTGATCTTTGTTAATGTCTTGATTCTGTTCGCAAAGCACAGACTAGTGCTTTAAAAAAAAAAGAAAGGAAAAAGTGAAAAAAATAATAAAAAAAAGTTACAGAATGTTGCGTGCCTGGCCTTTCTTAACAATTGGACATGGTGGTAATGGTGGCAACTTAGGAGCCAGCCCTGCTGGCAGTTCTCTGGTGTCCTCAGTCTTGCTCTGAACCTCCGGACGTCCCCATTCTGTTTTTTTTTTTTTTCCCCATTGCTTTTCAAAGCATGGAAGGGACATCGATGTGAAAGAGACACATCGTTTGGTTGCCCAACCCCCACAGGTGCCCCAACCTGGGCTGGGACCAGCCTGCAACCAAGGTACGTGCTGTGCCTTGGCTGGAATTGAACCTGGGACCCTTTAGTCCATGGGTCGACGCAGTAAGCACTGAGCGACCAGCCAGGGCTCCATTATGTCTTATGGGCACCTAGCAGGGTCATCTTGTCACCAGGGAGAGGATGTGGTGGTTTTATGAGGGAGGGAGGTAAGGGTGCCAAGAGGAGAGGGGTTCTGCGGAGATCGTCTGCTTTTCTTTCTGTTGGATGCAGTTGTTGCCTCTCGATGTCCCTTTCTCTGGTGAGGCCAGCAGTACCACGTTTTATATCTATTCCAAATGGCTCTTTAATGGAGATTTCACTTTTCACCACTGACCTTCTCTGGGGCTGGGGCCAGTGAGAGTGTATACTTTGTATGGAGCCTGGGCTGCTGCTCACCTGCGACCTGAGATTGTAGTGTCTTTGAGGAGACCAAGTGCTTGATTTTCTTTGTACAAAATGCGTAAGTGGTGGACCTGGTTATTGTCCTTTTCATGCAGTCAAGTTGAAGCGGCCAGTGAGGCTGCCTGTCCTGGCCGCGGGAGCAGTTCCGAGGTAGCGTTTCTCTGGGGCTGCCCTGTTGCTGCTCCTGTAGTTACAGTTAAGATCTTCTCTACTTAAGCTTCTGTCCGCAGTGGCTAAGGAAGCGCTGAGAAAAGTCATATTTTGAAACTTGAAAAATCTAAGGGTTTGGTGTTAAAGACCTTGAACTGATTAAGGAGCGGTACTATATGGGTGGCTTTGTTGCTGCTTGCTTTTGTGACATTGCTAGGGGTTGGCTGGTATCCCTGTCTTGGTTCAGCAGACCTGTTCCCCAGTACTGCTCCCAAGAAGGGGAAGGCAGGTGTGCAGGCCTTTAAGGGAGCGAAGCCATTCCTTCCGCTGGCTGGCCTAGTGTTGTGCTGATTTCCAGGGAGACATTCTCCCGCCCACCGCAGTCTCCTCAGGTTTGAATGCACCAGTACTGGTCCCGCAGACTCGCCGGGCAGTGAGCTCGGCCCCAAGGGTATTGACCAGGACCCAGAATGAGATGAGCTGAACGTGAAAAGGCCGAGACCTCTCAGCTTCAGGGTCCCAGGGAGAGCTGGTAAGTCCTCATGTTCTGGTGTTAACAACTGTCCTGCCCTGTTCTGAGCTAAGTTCTCCAAGGCTGGGAAGGGACTTGTATACCATACATCAGTTTCTTGTCTTGAATTCATGCACGGGGACCTTATTTAATCAGTAATAACTTTATTTCCAAATTCACTTGTACAGCAACAGTCAGTGTAAATCATTTGTTAAAACGCACAATACACCATATGAACATTCACAAACAGGAAGCTAAGCTAGGATGGTTTCATGTCCCTCCCCCCACCCTCAAAGTTACTGAAGAAATCATGGGACTTGCAAGTGCCAGAAATTGTCCCACCAGACACTGCAGATTCATGGGCTAAGTCCATCAGGAGGTGAGACTGGGTCGGTGCCCAGGATAACCCTTTTCAAAACTGAAGAGCAACCAGAAGTCTCATGAAGCCACGGATCTGTAGATGGGACACAGTGATCTCCCCCTCTGCCCTCATCCCCACCTCTTGGTTTTACTTGGGGGACAAAGATAAAAGAGGGTAAAGATCTTGGCAGCTGCTAGACACAGGCTGCGTGTCAAGAGTCAGTTGGAAAAGTGACACGGAGGTGCCCACGGTTTAGAGGAAAGGATGCCAGGGTCTTTGGGGGGCATGATTGCGGGCTTGGGACCCAGCAAGAAACCAGAGCAGCTGTATCTGCAGATTCCCCCACGAGCCTCACCCTCAGCACCAGCCCCGGCTGGGAAGGACACGGGGAGCAGCTGGCAGCCTACTGCACTTGGGAATCCTGTCAGTGGAAAGGCAGACGCCCCAAGGACCTCTAGCAAATGCGGTTGAAATCGTGAAGAAAAGGGTTACAAGGCAGTTTAACTGCTGCACTCCAAGACTTCCCCTTGCCCATGGTAACTATCTTACAGGTTCCTCCCCCCAACCCCCATAGCACAACAAGCAATCGCAAACAGGATACAGTCTCACCACTGAAGTCAATTTAAATGGAACTATTGATAGAGTGGAGAGCTTGAAGGAACCAGGCACAGAGCATACCTAGCCCCCCAAGGGACATTGGAGGTGGGGAAGCGGGGGTGGGGAGAACCCAGCCCTGGGGGATTGTCCTCATTTAAGGTCGCTAGCCAGCATCCCTTTGCCTCTCCTGGCCGGCACTGACCTGACCCCAGTAGCCCACCCTGCCAGGGAGATTCCAGGGCCCTCGGAGTAAGGTGTCGGAGAACAGGGCCCAGGAACTGCGGGAAGAGGAAGCCAGAAGAGGCGCAAGGAGATGCGGCCGCAACTAGCGGCAGTAATGAGGGGCCATGTCTCTAACGGCTACCAGATCTTTAAACCACATTTCCTTCTTCTCAGAACCCCAAGGACAGCAGGGAGCCTCGCAGTTGAGAGTTCCGGCCGAAGCTCTGACTGCAAATGAAGCCTCCAGCTCTATGGAGGAGGCCCTGGGCTCCTACCCCCCCCCCCC